CACTGGGACCCTGGAAAAGGATCGCTGGGGGAGGTGCCCGAAAGGATCGGGACCCGGGCAGGAAGCGCGCCCTCCCCCGGCCTCGCAGCAATCAGAAAGCAGTGTCCCTTTCCACCCGGCCTCAAGTCCTCGCGCGTCCATGACGCGCCAGCACCCACGGGAGTGTCGACCCCTGCCCAGTCGGAAAGGGGTGGATCGGCTAAAGCCAGGGGCGGCTCTGACTCATAGGAGACTAGAGGGCAGAGACCCACCCCAGCGCGTGCCCCCAAAGCCCTCATGACTGCCGGGACCCTCCCCTTCGGTACCTCGAGAGCAGGGTCTACCAGGGGGCTGCTGCACAAAGAGGTGGTGGTCGAGGGAGACGCCAAATCATTAAGAGGGGGAATCCACTTCGGCCATCTTGGAAGGGAGGAAAGGGAAAAAGAGACGGAAAAAAGGGAGAAAGAAAGGCGGACGGGGCGAGCTTGGACAGGGGCTGCGGGGTAGGAGGGGACTCGAACAGCAGGCCCCGCTCGTGGATTCCCCTCCACAGTGGCTTGGGGGGCAGGATGGAATGGCTCCGGTCCCCATCTCCAGCTGGTCATAGGGTAGGAGAAGGGAAGGAAGCGCGAATCCCGCAGCCGCTTACCTGGGTTCGGGGTCCGGTGGGTCTCGGGGAGGGGGGGATGGGAGGGAGGGAGGGAAGGTAGGGAAGGGAAGGGGGGCGCAGCCTTGTCGCTCGCTCGGGCGGCGGGAGGGGAGAAACCTACTGTAAGAAAGGAGTTTGCGAGAGCGGCTTGGGGTGGGAGGGAGAGAGGGGAGGGGAGGGGACGGAGGGCGAGGGGAGGGACCGAAGGGGGGGGAGACAAAATGGCTTTTTTCCTCTAGACAAGAGTAGGTCCCGCCCACTACTCACCCACGTGACCTCATTCCTTCAGGGTGTTTGCCGAGAGGGGAAGAGGAGGGGAGAGGCTGGCGTGGCTGCTCCCCCCACCCGTGCTGCGCCCCCCAAATTAGGAGGAGACCCCACTTTCTCATAAAGCCTCCCTGGACCCTGAGGATGGATCCTGCAACTAACAGCCTCTGCGACTAACCTCCTCCCCCCCCAAATTTGTGTGCCCCCTTCAACAACCCTGAGATTCCCACCCTAGCTGGGGCGCCTGGAAAATGGTGAAATGAGGACTGGGCGGAAATATGGCTCGCAGTCCTCTACGCCTCAGCCTCTGCCGAAGGGCGCTCGGGTGGGGGACGCGGCGCCGCCAGCCACGCGTCCGGGCGATTTTCATTCACTCTGACACTCCTTTAAAATTACAAACTGCATCTGTGACACAGAGCATGTCCTCCCCACTTCCCTTGCCCCTCGAGGCCCCGTTGCTGGCTCAGAGACCCAGCGCACAGGGCCCGATCGCGGCGCCTTGCGGGGAGCACACGGCGGGAGGCGGTGGGGTGGAGGGAGGCCTGGGGAAGGTCTCCCGGCGGGGACTCGGTTTACTGTGGCAGAGGCTGGCGCACCCGGCGAGCTCGAGCGGAGAAGAATGGAACGCAACCCAGGGCGGGGAGGCCAGCCCAAGACGGGAACTCAGGCGCGGGGCCAGGGACACAATAACCGGCCTGATTGGAGAGGCCAGACAGAGTAGGAAACCCGGCGCCGGGACTCGAAAGTGGCCCGCGCTTTTTTCCCCTGAGGTGCACGGGGATTCCCGCATTTCTCGCTTGCGCTCTGGGCTCTACGCGGCTCGTGCACCTCCCTCACCTGCACGGCGGGAGAACCCCGGCGAGTGCAAAGCTGCCAGCCGACTCCGACCGTCGCTCTCGGCTCCACCCAGCACTCACGCTCTAGTCCCCCGTGGCTCCCGCCGGGTTAGGGCCGGGGGGTGGGGTGGGTGGAGGGAAGAACAAGGAGGTTGGCTTGAAAAAGCGGGGAGCCGGCGCCGAGAAAGCAAATCGATTCTGCATTACGGCGACGACCGTGGGGCCTCATTGGGCTGGTCGATTCACTTATTCGTTATTCGCGATTTATTAGGGATGGCCACCATGACTGTCCCTCCAAAGAGCTTCATTATCCGACGAGAAGCGCCATAAAGCGCCCCGACGGTGGGTTGACTCGAGTTAGAAAACGAATCTTCTCCGAGCCTCGGAGCGCCTCCCTCCTTCTCTTCTTGCTCACAATCAAAACATCCCCGAAGTTGGGGTGGTGAGGGGGGCACAACTGAATGTTTTCAGCCTCTAGCCGGTGATCAAGAGCCCTGCGGGCACTGGCCGCCAAATGACCCTAGTTCCAGCCTTCAGCCCACACCAGGGCGGGGAGGAAGGGCGGGAAGGATTTCCGCCCGGAGGGGGTGGTCCAAGAACCAGCGGGAGAGGCCCCTTGAGGATCCGGTCACCTGCTCCCCAGTCTCTGCACTGGGGTACTGCGAAATCACCGACTCCTGTGCAAAAGAGGTTCTTGGCATTGGACACGTTCACTCACCCCGGGGCAAGTATGTCGCCGGCATCCCGGACTCTGCCAGCGAACACTCGCTCATCCACTCGCGCTCCGCACGAAAGGGACACAGGGACTCCCGCTCACCCACTCCTCTGAGCAAGAGAAATCCATAGGGGTTTCGCAGAGATCTCGATCACACCCGCGATCCACATAGCAACCAGAGGATGCCCCTCGGAGAAGTAACAGCTAGTGGGAAGGGGATTGACGTTCCACTGTGGCCCAATCTTGGAGGGCTGCCACAGGGGGCCACCGTGCTAAACGGGGATTGGGGTCCATTAACATACCATCAGCTATTAAGCTTCAGGAGCAAACCGCTGGGAAGGAGCTTGCTGAAGACCCTGCTACCCACTAAATCTCCAATTTAATCATTTCCATCCCAAACCACCAGCCTCACATCTTGACTTTTTCTGGTTTATCAGAAGAATCTCTGTTCCAGCCCTTCCCACATCTGAAGTTCTCTGGTCTCCTAAGTCTTCATTAAGTCACTTAGAAACACCTGTCATTTGGCTGTGTCAAATACTTTGCTAGGCAATGGCAGATCAGTAGGGAGCTCACAGATCAGTGAGTGCAAACTTGAAGGGACACAGACTTCACACAGCACCAGATGTTTCTTCAGGCTCATCCCCATGGGTGTGAGAGCAACCAAGGGAGAAGGCGTCCAGAAGAGGCCTCCTTTAAGCTACATGCCCCAGAAAACTGTTGAGAGTGTGCACTCTCCAGGAAGATATAGGCTCCCACTCAGCGCCCAGAATAGGAATGCATCTCTGCAGATATGACAAGCCATGTATCTCACATAGTCCTCTAGCTGACAACTTTGTATCAAGAGGTTCACTGTCCATCACAGCCAAGAATCGGGAAGTGTAGGCAGTTACTTCCAGCACATGGTAAGAGCTAGTGTGAGGATAAGATTCCTTTAAAAACCGTGAAGACTCTAGGAGAGGGGCCCTTCCAGTGCTTTTGTGAATAGCTTTTCCTCTGCATCCTTCACTCCCTTTCGCTCCCCCAAAACAATGTCCTTTGTCATTTTCTACTTCTGTTTTCCTATCCTCCCCACTTCTTGTGTGTTTCATTATTTTGTTGTTTTCCTATGAAACACTTCTGTTTTCCCTCTCTCCATTTTCTTGGATTCTTCTCTCCCTCAACCAGCCTATTCCTCTGTTATGTCCTTCTAGCTGTCTGTTGCTCACAGCTGTTTTCCCTCTTACCTTTGTTTCTCTTCATCTTTCACTTTTTGTCCCTGCCATTCTCTCTCTCCTTACTTAACTCCCTTCCAGATGTAATATTTCTACTTTATAACATCCACTGAAACATACAATGGCAGCCTGTCTAACCTCCACTGCCAAATTCATTATTAATCAGATGAAAGATGCACGGTGAGATGCACACTGAGACAAAAACCTCGGTCTTTGGCTTTCCTGCAATTCAGCATTGGAGCAGAATGTTAGGGGAGCGGTAGAGCCACGATGGGGAGAAATTATCCCATCATTAACCACAACGAGTTTTCAACCACAAGGACCGACCTTCTGGGTTGCTGTAGAAAAATTGCTCTGCCATTTCAATATAAAATTTGTTGTTTAAACAGTTCCGATCAAAATCTCAACCTACAGAAAAAGGGTCCGCGTCCCTGGGTGGGCTCGAACCACCAACCTTTCGGTTAACAGCCGAACGCGCTAACCGATTGCGCCACAGAGACGGTGATGAGTATTGGCGTGGCAGAGAGTAAAGTCAATGGGAGCGAGCCTGGAATGGCGAAAAAGCGGTTAACAGCTCCGAAAATTGCGTGAAAGAAACCGGACCAGGAGAAAAGGAAGGTTTCCTGACCTGGGGAGGACAGCAGGGAGGGAAAGACTGTGGGACACGCTCGCCTCTCCTAGGCTTGCTCTCCGAGTGGTAGGTGCTGGGTATCCTCTGGTTGCACCTTAGATGTGGAGAGCCCGGAATGTCCGTTTTGAGGGTGGCTTGAGACCTGGAGCTACATTAAGTCGACCTACCAGGTGTCCCCAAAACAGAACAATCTCTAGTCCCCAAAACTCGCCTCTACAGATGAACCCTGGAAGCCGCAGAGTGCCCTCCCCTTCCCCCTCGCATCATTCAGTTTGCACTTAATGGGTGCCTTCCGTATACCAGGCATTGTCCAGGGTCAGTGACTATAGGGTCTCGCTAAGTGGTACACAGTAGCTGTAAGGATTTGTGGGATGAATAAAGGAAGTCAGCTAGTATGAATAAGTAAAACGCCAAATTCATATAGCACGCTCTATAAGAATCACCGTGGTCCCTCAGCTGGATCTGCAGACCCGCGAAACCCGACTGCCCAAACCCACGTGCGTGCAGACCCCGCCCCCTGTCGCGACAGCCGAGTCCAGGTCCTCCGAGATCCCAGCATGCACTCAGACGCAAGGCTCTTCCGCGCTCACAGTGACTTTTCACTTTCCGCTTTCCTCGCCTCCGTTTTGGCTTCTCAACCAAACTACCTGTATTGGTGACTGACGGGATGTATGGCCAGTAGAAAGCCAAATTAGCTATGCGCCCCTGCCTATCAGCCAATGGGGAGGAAGCAACGAGAGCGACGCGCAGTGAGAGCAAGGACCGGTTTACTGGAACTGTGGCGGCGATCGGGGGTTCCTGTACACCGCAATCATGGTGAGATTGGGGTCCAGAGAAAGGACTACAAAGTATGAATCGAGAAACGGAGAGGGTGTAAGACCGGTATTGGGGGCGGAAAGGGCCCTATGGTCGATGGAAAGGAGCGGACCGCGGGGACAATCAGGGGAATGAGTGCGGCTCCAGGCTGTCCAGCAGGTCCCATCTCAGAGTTGGGGCGTCCCGGCACCTTCAGAGCCGAGAACACTGCGTACAGGAGTCCCCGGATCGGGGACTGGGCTGGGGCTATGGCATTTGGCCTCTTGCGCTAAGCTTCTCCACGTTGTCTGCCCTAGTCTATTATGTCCTATAATGGAGGGGCCGTCATGGCCATGAAGGGGAAGAACTGTGTGGCCATAGCTGCAGACAGGCGCTTCGGGATCCAGGCCCAGATGGTGACTACGGACTTCCAGAAGATCTTTCCCATGGGTGACCGGCTGTACATCGGCCTGGCTGGACTCGCCACTGATGTCCAGACAGTGTAAGTATCAGAGATCCCCGCCCACATCCAGGCCTCTTCATAGACCAGCCTTGCCAGGTGTCTTGAGTGGCCTGGGTGTCAGTCATCTACCAAAACACCAGTGCCAGACACCACAGCAATACAGAGATGTATCCTAACCAGCTTTACCCCTATTTTCTCTGCTGGACGCTGGGAAGCGCCTGTGTGCACGGACTCATTTAATCCGCTTTCTGATATTACCAGCTTGCTGTCCCATTTGGTTAGTTAATGCCCTGGATGCAAATTAGTGAATATTACCCAGGATTCCAGTGCTGGTCTTCAGTCTAAAGCCAAAGGCTATGCTCAGTCCCTAAAGAACTTCAGGTCTAGTTGGCAGACAAAGCAGGCATACGGAAAGGTAACCAACCCATAATGCAAGATTACTTCTAGAGTTGACGGTGGTTTTGTGATTTGAGAGAAGAGAGAGTCAGAGAGAAGAAACAGCTGTTGTGATTGTCCAAGTTGTGAAGGTCATGATCTAATGGGGTAATTGGTGGCAGGAAAGCAAAGGATGGGATTTCTGAGAGTTGTTGCTCACCAGGCTTAGTGGCTACTTGGATATTGTGGATCCAAAGAAAGTCATTTATTGAGGTCAAGACCCTTGTCTTTTGCTTGTGATGCTTGGGATCGAACTCAGGGCTTTGCACACGTTAGGGAAGTGCTGTACCACGGACCTACATCCTCAGTTCTTTGTAGTTTGTCTTTTTTTTTTTTTTTTTTGTGGTACCGGAGTTTGAACTTGAGACTTAGTACTTGCTAGACAAACTCTAGTTCTAGAGCCATGTCTCCAGCCCTCCTTTTTTTTTTTTCTTTTTTTCTTTTTTTGGTTCTGGAGATTGAACCCAGGGGCTTTCAAATGCTATGCCACTCAGCTACACTCCCATACCCCATAAATTTTTGTTTTTTGTTTTCTTGAGGTACTAGGGATTGACTCAGGTCCTCAGATGCTAGACAAGTCTCCACTCCTTCAGCCCTTTTGTTTGTATTTTGTTTTTGAGATAGGGGCTGGTTCCAAACTAGAGATCCACCTGCTCTATCTCCCCTGTAGCTGACATTATAAGCATGTGCCACCATGCCTAGCTCCCTGTGTATTTTTTATCTAGTACAGTCAGCCCTCTGTACAGTCCTGGGATTGAACTGACTTTGCATGGAAAATATGCATATGGGCTGGGAATGTCACTCAGTGGTACAGTGTGTGCGTGACAGGCATGATATCAGTTATCCTTCAGGAATCTTCCAGTTCATGAGCAGATTAATGCAAGGGTTCAATTCCAAGCACCAAAAAAAAAAAGAGAAAATATTCATGACAAAAAAATTCTTGTCATTATTCCCTGAACACTGTGGTAGAACAAATATTTACATGGCATTTGCATTGTTTAGGTATGATAAGTAATCTAGAGATGATTGAAAACAGAGGAGGACTGGGCTTGGTGGTGCACACTGTAATCCCATCTGCTCAGTAGGTGAGTAGGAGGTGAAGTAGGAAGTAAAAGTAGGAGGATCACACCCTGAGGCCAGCCCAGTCAAAATCTCAAGACCCTATCTGAAAAGCAAACTAAGAGCAAAGGGACTGGTGTGTGGCTCAAGTGCTAGAGTACACCAGGCCCTTAGTTCCGTCCCCAGTACTACCAGGGAATGTATGTAAATATAACCTGTGGATTTTGGTGACCATGGGGGGTCCACAGGGACCTATGTGGTGTATAGGCAGGCGGTGAAGTGGTGTCCAAGGTGATTCCTGTTTTGATCATGTTGACTGAAACATAGGAGTTGGGAAGACTACTTACTGTAGGAGGGAAGAAGATGACACTGACTTTGACACCAATTTTGAGGGAACAAGATGTGCCAAATAGAAACACCTTGCAGGCAGGTGGGGTTTTGAAGTTACAGTCAGGGCTGGAGAGGCATTGGTGATGTGTGAGTCAATGAGAGCACATTCTGAAGAGATGGTATGTGAAGGGAGAAAAATAAGCTGTAGTTGGAAAGCTGAACCTTTATTTTTAGTAGTAGGGGAAGAAGAGAAGTCAGAAGAGAGTTGAAAAGAATTGGGATAGGATTCAAGAGGGAAAATGGGGCTAGTGGAGTGGTTCAAGTTGTAGATTGCCTGACTAGCAAGCGTGAAGCCCTGAGTTCAAACCCCAGTACTGGAAAAAAATAATTTACGAAGAGGGAATCTGTGGGCCTAAGGAGCAGTGACTTCTAGACTTCCTAAAGGCTTGAGAGATGAGCTCACTAATGGTAGGGAAGCATATCAGAAAATTCTCATTTCCTTTAAAGCTGAATAAGTCTCAAGAACACAGAACTTCCTGAGTTGAATCCAGCTTGCTCTTTCTCCTGTCCCACTGGAGTGAGACACACCAGCATGAGCCTCCTGTCAGCATGAGGCTTCGCCAGCCTTCCCCTCCTTCTCCTGCTCTCCTCACACCACATCCTTTCCCTCAGAAGCCTCTTCTCACTGAGTTTGCTTGCTGTGGGTGTAGTTACTCATTTCACTAGGTCTCAGTTTCCTGACCTGTAAGATGAAGCTCTTTGGTTTTGTGTCCTGGAAGTCACTACTGTGCCCTCAGCAGGTGTGGCATTGGTCAGCTCCATGCAGGTGGCCTATCCTGGGGCTCTGAGGTGACCCTGGGGGAGGCCAGGCCTTCTTTCTTAGGCACCTTCCAGTCAGTGAGCACAGCAACTACTTGTGATCAGTGCACATATGGCTTGGGGCAGAGCTCAATAGGGAGAGTGCCTTGTAAGCCCAAGGCTCTGGGTTCAATCCCCAGTACCGCCAAATAAAAATAAAAAATCAAGTAATACACATAAGACTTTGCAGCTTCCCTCAAGGACAGGAATTATATGTCTGTCTTTTGTGATACTGGAGCTTGAACTCAGTATCACATCTTGAGCCACTCCACCAGCCCTTTTTTTTTTGTAATGTTTTTTCGAGGTAGGGTCTTACAGACTATTTGTCTGGGCTGGCTTCAAACTGGTATCCTCCAATCTCAGCCTACAGAGTAGCTAGAATTACAGGTATGAGCCACCAGCACCCAGCCTGGATTATACGTCTTTATATGTCTCTTGGTGTTCCTCTTGACTGCCTCAGGGTGGATACTACAGGACATTGAACAGTGACTTACCTGGTTTTTTCCTCCTACCTCAGTGCCCAGCGCCTCAAGTTCCGACTGAACCTATATGAGCTGAAGGAAGGCCGGCAGATCAAGCCTTATACCCTCATGAGTATGGTGGCCAACCTCCTGTATGAGAAAAGGTAAGAGGATTCAGGGAATTCAGGCGCCTGGCTTGGCAGCGTGGGACTGCAGTGTGGAGGGGTGCTGGCAACAGGGCTCCTTTGTCCCCCTATTTCTTATTTGCAGGATAGTGTTCTTGGTTGATGGCTCTCTTTCCTTTGGGGCTGTCTGACAACCAAGTAGGAAAGGAAAGATTCAGGTCAGAAGAAGGCAAGGAGGCTGGAGGTGTGGCTCAAGTGGTAAAGTACCTGCTTAGCAAGGGCAGGGTCCTGAGTTCAAACTCCAGTCCACAAAAACAGAAGAAGGCAAGGAATGCAAAGAACAGATGAAGTTGCTTCTAGCCAGGAGTCACTCTTCCAGAGCTTTTCTCCAGCACTAGAGTCTCTGGAATGGCAGGCAACTCAGGAATTGGTGTGTTACTTTTTGTCAATAAAATCTAGTACACTGAAGGGAGACTCAGTTATAGGTACATTTCCTACCCACCTGTGGGCAAAACTGGGTAGCCCAATACAAGTTGGGCTCTTTTTTCCTTAACCTTTCTTTTTGGTAGTCCTGGGATTTGAACTCAGTGCCTCATGCTCACTAAGCAGGCACTGTACCACTTGAGCCACTCCACCAGTCCTTTCCTTAACCTTTTATTTTGAAGTAACTTTAGGCATTTTGGCAGGAGGATGGTTTTAAACTTAGGGCTTCACACTTGCAAAGCAGGCATTCTACCACTTGAGCACTGCCTCCAGCCCAATAATTTTAGACTGTATAGAAAAAAAGAAAGCGGGATATGGTGACCATACCTGTAATCCCAGCACGTGGGAATTGAGGCAAAACAATATCCAGATCAAAGCCTCGCCCAGCATTGGTGGCTCACACCTGTAATCCTAGCTACTCAGATGGCAGAGATCAGGAGGATCAGGGTTCAAAGCCAGCCTGGGCAAATAATTTGCAAGACCCTATCTTGAAAAAATTCATCACACAAAAATAAAAAGGGCTGGCAGAATGGCTCAGAGTGTAGGCCTTGAGTTCAAACCCCATACCACAAAACAAGCAAACAAACCAAAAAACCCCAAAAAACAAAACAGATCAAAGTGTAGGCTGAGACTGTCTCAAAAAAATAAAAGAGAACAGAAAAATTGCAGAAATTCTCTTTAACTTTCAAAATTAAAAGTGTTTGCTGGCACACCTGGATTATAGTACTTTTTTTTTTTTTTTTTTTTTTTTGTGGTAACTCAGGGCCTCATGCTTGCTAGGCAGGCACTCTATCACTTGAGCCATTCCACCAGACCAAAAAAGGGTTACTTGTTTTGGAAGTATATGTTACTATCCTTGCTGGGCACTGGTGGCTCATGCCTGCAATCCTAGACGGTGGAGATCAGGAGGATTGAGAAACAAAGCCAGCATGAGCAAACAGTTTGAGAGCCCTTATCTTGACAACACCCAATGCAATAAAGGCCTGGTGGAGTGGCTTAAGTGGTAGAGTACCTGCCTAGCAAGCATGAGGACCTGAGTTCAAACCCCAGTACTGCCAAAAAAGATAAGATAGATAGACAAACAGATATAGATATATAGCTGTATATATCCTTGCTGTTAATTTATATGTGGCAACTGTTTATCACAATCCCAAATTGAGAAAGACTAAGCAGAAAATGTTTAAACTGATTAATCAGATGGAGGAGAGGCAAAAATTAAACTCTGAACCCCAGGCATGGTAACCATGACTATAGTACCAGCTACTCAGGAGGCTGAGGCAGGAGGAGTTCAGAAACAGTCTGGCTATACAGCCAGACCCTAGCTCAAAAGAAAAAGAAAGTTAAGCTTTGACTTCCACGCCATGTCTTGGCAAAGCATGTTGGAACCACCACAAACTTAGGTCCTGAGCCATGTAACAGTCTTTGGTTTTAAGGTTGTTACTCAGGTGGCCTAGGATTTTCTTTTTTTAAGTTTATTGAGAAGAAAAGCAAAAATTTAAATTTCTTACAGAAATTAATACTCAGGGGGTCTGTTTGAGAAGCTCTGGGTAAATGCATCCTACCGCTGGGTGCCAATGCCTTACACCTGTAATCCTAGCTACGGGAGGCTGAGATTGGGAGAATCAAGGTTCAAGACCAGCCTGGACAAAGAATTGAAGAGACAAATAGTTGGAGAGACTCCATCTCCAAAATAACCAGAGCAAAATGGGCTGGAGGTATAGCTCATGCAATAAAGTACCTGCTGTGCAAGTGTGAAGCCCTGAGTTCAAAACCTCAGTCCCACCCAAAAAAAAAAAAGTATCGTAAGCCAGTAAGACATATGGGTAATGCCTTTTTATTTACTGATCCTATTGAAGATACTGGCCAGTAGTTATTGAGTATTTTATTTTTATTTATTAAGACAGAATCTTGCCCTGTGGCCCAGACTGGCCTGGAACTCACTCTGTAGCTCATGCTGGCCTCTAGCTCGTGATTCTACTAAGTGTTGTATTACAGGCATGTGCCGCCATGCCCAGCTGAGATACTGAGTATTTTATGCATGAAGATCTCTATGATTGATTGTTCTCACAGTTCAAGATTTAGAACAAGTTCCCAGTAAGCTGACATTTCAGTAAGAGTTACCCAGCCCACTGAGAGTCCCTTTCTGCTTTGCCCGCTAGGAGCATCAGAACAAACTGTCAGTCTGAATGTCTTGAGTTCTGTAGCTGCTTTTTTTTTGGTGGTACTGGGGTTGAACTCAGGGCCTTACACTTGCTAGGCAGGGACTCTACCACTTGAGCCACCCCACCAGCCCTTGAATTCTGCTTAGTTGTTGTAGTTCTGTTTTTTATTATTTTTCCTATATACTGCCTTGAGTCATTTTTCCCCCTGCCACTTTTTGAGACAGGGTCTCACAAGATAGCCTCCACTAGCCTGGAATTCTCAAATTCTCCTGCATCTACCTTTTTTTTTTTTTTTTTTTTGCAGCACTGTGTTTTGAACTCAGAGCCTCATGCTTGCTAGGCAGGTGCTCTTACTGCTTGAGCCACTCTGCCAGCCCTTTTTTGTGATGGGTTTTATTGAGCTAGGTCTCTGAACTGTTTACCTAGAACCTCTTGAGTAGCTAGGATTACAGGTGTGAGCCACTGGGGCCTGGCTTCTTCCATCTATCGCTTAAGTTCTTAAGTGCTGGAATTATAGGATGTGCCACCCTGGTTGGGGTGTGTGTGTGTGTGGTGCTGGGGATCAAACCCAGGGCCTCACACATGCTAGCATTCTAGGCAAGTGTTCTACCACTGAGCTACATACCCAGCCCAGCCTCGCCTCAAGTCTTTTTCTAAAGGTGTAGAAGTATAAATGTACAAATAGAGAATTGAATAGTTGATAGGAGTTTGGATTAGGATAGGGAACTCCCAAAGAAAGGAAGAGGAAAGAAGGGCACGGGTGTGGATATGAAGTGTCAGAGAAAAGAAGAACATTGCCAGATGCCAGGGCGGGGTGTAGGGTTGAACTGAGCTAGTCTCCTTTGTCTGAACAGCCCTGCATGTGAAAGTGAGTGCTCTTGAACTCTGGTTTCTCTCTGGTCCTGGCTTCACAGGTTTGGCCCCTACTACACAGAGCCAGTCATTGCTGGGTTGGATCCGAAGACCTTTAAGCCCTTCATTTGCTCCCTAGACCTCATTGGCTGTCCTATGGTGACTGATGACTTTGTAGTCAGTGGTACCTGCTCGGAACAAATGTATGGGATGTGTGAGTCTCTCTGGGAGCCCAACATGGTGAGTTGGCCACATGGAGCTGGGCTGGCCTTGAGGTAGCCACCCTTGGCCATCAGGAACAAAATGGGAGAATGGTGAGGTAGGAGAGCAGGTCACGCTGACTATTTTTGGGAGGGTTTCCAGAAGCTCCATCTGCAGTGCTGGCTGACCTAGAGCAGAGCACATTTTGTTTGGTCACCCTGGTCAGATTTTACTACAGCCTCACATGGGGTTTCCGGTCCGCATATCCACGCGTAGAGCAAACACCTAGCACAGTACAGAATTAGGAGTAGGTGGACAGACTAAGCCTAGAGCTAGCATGTCTGGGCTGGAAACCTGGATTAGCCCACTGGCCTTAGTTTTTGTTCTTGGGTAAATCGTTTTACCTCCCCCATCTCCATTACCTCAGCTGTGAAAGGGGAATAGTAACGGAACCTTCCTCACATAAAAAGAGATCGGTGTATACCTGACAGAAATCAGAGGGAGTTGAAGACCAGCCTGGGCAAAAGTTAGGCAGACTCCCATCTCAATCAATAAGCCAGGCATTGTGGCATATGTCTGTGATCCCAGCTACCAGGAAGTCATAAGTAAGAGGATTGCCCACCAAGACCGGCTCTGGGCAAAAACTTGGAATCCTGTCTGAAGAACAGTACAAGCAAAAGAAGGGCAGGGAACATGGCTCAAGTAGTAGAGCACCTGCCTAGCAAACTCAAAGTCCTGAATTCAAATCCCAGTGCTGCCAAAACAACAAAAAACACTCAGGCAAGGCCAGGTGTGTTTAGTGACTAGCGAGCTGAGAGTGGGTGGAATGGGCAGGGTGTGGCATTAGATGAGGCTGAAGATGGAGACTGAGAGGAGACTTAAAAGGGCCTTGAAAACCTTGCTTTCCCTTCACTGTAAGGAGCCTGAGGACTCAGGGGCCTACCGCTGGATGTGATAGGCTATTGTCACCTGCAGGAGGCGCTGAAGTCCTGAGCAAAGTTAATGGTGAGGACAGCTGTTTCTTCCTTGGCTAGCCAAGTAGAGAACACAGGGGAAGAGGAGTTTTTTTGTTTTGTTTTGGTGGGAGAGGGGTTAGGGCTGGACAAGTTGAGGGTTTTTTGGTGTTTTCAGTGGTACTGGGGTTTGAACTCAGGGCCTTACACTTGCTAGGCAGGTGCTCCTCCAGCTACTGGTGTCTGGCGGACAGATGGAAGTTTTTTGGTTTTTTTTGTTTGTTTTTTTTTGGGCTTTTTTTTTTTGCGGTATTGGGGTTTGAATTCAGTCTCCACCTTATTGCCCTTTTATTGTGATGGGTTTTTGAGATTGGTCTAGAGAACTATTTGTTCAGGCTGGCTTCAAACTGAGATCCTCCTGATCTGTGCCTCCTGAGTAGCTAGGATTACAGGCGTGAGCCACTACACCTTGCCAGGTTGAATTTTGAAGTGCCAATGGGCCATCCAGGCACTGATGGGCACTGAGAGAGCACCACAGAGCCAAGCAGAGATTCTTCTCCTTATTTTACAGCAGAGGGATTGAGGCTCAGTGAAGGACATTTTACTTGCCCAGGGCCACACAACTGGTTAGTGAAGACTCTGGATTTGAAGTATTTCCATGGTCCCATTTCCTTCCAGGGTGGAAGCTGAGAGGGAACCCTCCCTCACTTGAAGGTGCCGAGAGCTGGGGACTTAGAGTCCAGACGAAAGATTTAAGGAGCCATATTAAGTCTGTAACCTGAAAGGGTTTTCTTCTGTTGGCAGGATCCAGAGCACCTGTTTGAAACCATCTCCCAAGCCATGCTGAATGCTGTGGACCGGGATGCAGTTTCAGGCATGGGTGTCGTTGTCCATGTCATGTGAGTATGAGTTGGGAGAACTCTAGGAGCTTTGCAAACACCTGCCTCCCCGCCTCCCCCACAAGCACGCCACTCCATCTTCTTTGCATGTTTCAGTAGAAGTTTAGCCAAATACTCACAAGTGATCTTCTGGATTAGTGTTTGTTTTTAACCTGATCTGCCCATTAAAGTCACCATGGATTCCTTGGTCCCATCTTCCCAGCCCTGGTCAGGTGTGAGATAAAGAGGCCTCTGCAGGCCTGGGACAGTACAAGTCCCAGGGCTACCCAGACTCCTAGGCCCCTATCAGGTGAGGCTCCATGACCCCAAGTCTCCTCCTCTTGCTCACAGTGAACATTTTCTTCACTAGCAGTGTCCCCAAAGCCTTAGGGATCTGTGTGGGGATGACCACAGGGGAGCTACTTCAGATTTTTTGCTAGGAGGCTCCCCATTCCCCACCAGCTCCCACCAGTCTAACCCAGACTGTGGAGATGAGCTAAGCTCTGGGAGCCATATTCCAGCCGCTAGCTAGTTCTCTACATGCCACACCCTCTCCCCATTGTTTGGGGCTGTCACCAGGAACCTGATTGGATGAAGTGAAGAATGGCCTCCCAGCTGCTTTTGCTACATCGCAGAATTAGCCTTTGGACCCTTTACCTATTCATAGGATAGCCTGCTCACTCAGCAGGAGGAACAGAACTTATCACCCAAGGTTCTTTTGTGCTCATTGGGTGAGACCCTCACCTCATGTTCTCTAGGCCTGAAGGCACCACTCCTTCTTTGGAGGCAACCTTAGTCCAGCCAGAACCATTTTGTGGGAAAGGCTCCCCTAGATGGGGACTTTCCCCTGTGGAAAGTCTTCCCAGCTGCTCACTCTTATCCTCCCTTTCCTCAATGCGGACTCTGACTGGAGCAGAACACCAGGCAGCCCCTTCACCCTTCTACCGAGCAAGGGCTTGGTGCTGAGAGCCAGAGTGGAAAGCAGCAGTCTCCACAGGTGTACGTGTTTTCTCATGGCTTTCTCCCTCTGCAGTGAGAAGGACAAGATCACCACCAGGACACTGAAGGCCCGAATGGACTAATCCTTTTCCCAGAAGCCACATTTGTTTGTTTTGTTTTTTTTTTAAATAAAATAGCCTTTCTTTCATTCCTGCTTCTTTTGTTTTTGATGCTTTCCTATAAAGAGCTCCTTAAGGTTTAATCTCAGCCCTCGGGTTTTCTTTCTTTGGTGCTGGGGATGGAACCCAGCGATTTGCACATGCTAAATTCGTGCTTACGCCCTCAGTCCTGGGTTTTCTTTTTGACTGGCCACCTGCTCCACTGGCACATCTATGGCCATAATCTACTAGTCACTATTGGATACCTGCTTTGTGCTAGGCCTTCAGCAAAGTGCTTTACACATTCTAGAATTTAGTAACAGTGAAGATTAACCTTATTTAGAAATGAAAGGCAGTTAAAAAGCTTGAAGGCCACTTTAGTAAGCAGGATAGGTGACATCCACCTGTAATCCTAGACTTGGGAGGTTGAGGCAGGAGGATCATGAGTTTGAGGCCAGTCAAGGCTACAAATTGGGACCCTTTCTCAAAAAAAAAAAAAAGTGAGCCAGATATGTAATATTCCACTAAAACCTAGATAGCTTTCCATTAAATTCTGCCTGAAACCCCTCAATGTTCTTTGTTTCAATAGGAATTTGGCCAAGTACAAGTGATCTGAGTTTGGTCCCCGGCACAGAAAAAAAAAAAGTAAACCAAGTGGTCTTCTAAATTAATGTTTTTAACCTTGTCTGCACATTAAAGTCACCATGGATTCCTTGATCCCATCTGAAGGATGCTGATTCATTAACCTTTTTTCTTTTCTGAAATTCCCTAAGAAAGCCCAGCCTCAGATATGCTCGTACACAAATGGGATGGCTGCCTGGTTCCTAAACGTTCCCCAGAATCATTCAAAGGGCTCATTCAGACATTTTTTTGGTGGTGCTGGGGCTCAAACCAAGGCACGCATGTTAGGCAAGTGTTCTGTACTGAGCTACATCCCAGACTGGTGTCTCACTCCTGGGCTCAAGTGATCCTCAACTCAATGGGTACTGAGACGTAAGTGTGGACCAGCATGCCTTGCCTTTTTTTGTGGTACTGGGGTTTGAACTTGGGGCCTACACCTTGAGCCACTTTAGCAGCCCTGTTTTGTAACGGGTTTTTTGAGATAGGGTCTCGTGAAATATTTGCCTGGCTTTGAACCACGATCCTCCTGATCCCTGAGTGGCTAGGATTACAGGTTTGAGCCACCAGCACCCGACCACATCTGTCTTTTTTGTTTCAGGTTCAAAAAATCTGGAATGAGACCTGAGAATTTACATTTCTGGATCCTAGGTGCTATTGGTACTGCTGGTTCAGGACCACACTTTGAGAACTACTAGATTTTAAGTTAAAGTGTCCAGATAGCGAATCAGGTGCACAGAGGTGCCATGTTCAAAGTCAACTGCATAGCCAGTTGAGTGCATGGCTCCTAGCCACCATCCATCCTGCACAGCTAGAGAAGGGAAGGAGGGGTGGTGGTGCATGGTAATGGCAGGTGACAGGCCACCCAATGCTGTGTTTTTAACATTGCTTATTAATTGCATCTGATAATGGGATGTCACTGACCACATTTCTCCTCAAACTGTACATTGATTTTGCTCAATCTGCCTCTGAAACTGAGGCCAAAACCTTTTTCTAAAAAAAAAGGAAGTGGGCATTTCCAAAGGATTCACACATAACCAGATGTACCAAAGCTTTTTGAGTTTTATTTTTTCCTCGGGTTGGAGATTCATCTTAACATGCATGCATTTTAAAACAGTAACATGGTCTCAAACTGTTTAGAGCAGACATTAGACAAGCACAAGGGGTTGGAAATTTCTATTTTAAAAAATGGAACTTGTGGTGGGAAATTGAGAAGTCACACACATGGTAGAGTGGTAATTTATCCTGCTTCCCCAGTGGATGACTCGGGACTTGATTCACATTCTGTGTGTTCAGT